TCTTCTTTATGGCTGAGTAAAACTCCATTGTGCATAAATATCACAATTTCTTATTTATTTATTCTGATTAGTTATACATGATGACAGAATGCAATTCATTTCATATTACATATACAGAGTATAATTTTTTAAGACACTGGTTGTACACAAAGTATTTTCACACCATTCATGTCTTATATATGTACTTAGGGTAATGATGTCTAACTCATTCCACCATCATTCCTATCCCCTTTCCCCGTCCTTTCCCCTCCCTCCCCTTTGGCCTATTTAAAGTTCCTCCATTTCTCCCATGCTCCCCACCCTGCAAATCTCCATTATTTGTTTGCATCCTCATATCATAGAAAACATTCGGCCTTTGTTTTTTGGGGATTGGCTTGCTTCACTTAGCATTATATTCTCCAACTTCATCCATTTACCTGCAAATGCCATAATTTTATTCTCTTTTAATGACGAGTAATGTTCCATTGTGTATATATACCAAAGTTTCCCTATCCATTCATTTACTGAAAAGCATCTAGGTTGGTTCCATAGTTTAGCTATTGTGAATTCTGCTGCTACAAACATTGATAATGGCTGTGTCCCTGTAGTATGTTGTTTCTAAGTCCTTTGGGCATAAACTGAGGAGTGRGATAGCTGGGTCAAATGGTGGTTCCATTCCCAGTTTTCCAAGGAATTTCCATACTGCTTTCCATATTGGCTGCACCAATTAGCAGTCCCACCAACAGTGTATGAGTGTATCTTTTTCCCCACATCTCGCCAACACTTATTATTGCTTGTAATCTTAATAGCTGCCATTGACTGGAGTGAGATGAAATATTAGAGTAGTTTTGATATGCATTTCTCTTATTGCTAGAGGTATTGAATATTTTTTTCATATGTTTGTTGATTGATTGTATATCCTCTTCTGAGAAGTGTCTTTTCAGCTCCTTGGCCCATTTATTGATTGGATTATTTGTTGTTTTGGTGTTAAGGTTTTTGAGTGCTTTATAACCAATCAAATACAAATTAATATATGAGCAAAAAAAATCTAGTAGAGTACAAGAGGGAGAAGTGGGGAGGAGGGAAGGGTAAAGGAAGATCATGAACTGAAATTGATTCCTATGCATATCTGAGTTTGTCAGGATGAATCCAACTACTGTGTATAACCATAAATATCTAATTTTTAAAAACCATAACAAGACACAATGTTATTAATTTGCTAAAAATGAGTAATAAACAGGAAATCCTAAAAGGAAACAGAGAAGAAAAAACACACTACATAGAGTGGAACAAAGACAAGAATTATAGCAGATTTCTCTTGAAAAACCATGCAAACCAGGAGATGATGAAAGAAATTATTAAGACACTGAAGTGGGGGAAAAACCCCTATCAATCTAGAATTATACTGAGTAAAAATATCTTTCTAGATGGGTATGGTGGTGCAAGTCCGTAATCCTAGTGACTCAAGAGGCTGAAGCAGGAGGATCACAAGTTCAAAGCCAGCCTCAGCAACTTAGTGATGCTGTAAGCAACTTAGAGASACCATATCTCAAAATAAAAAATGTGTGGCCATGTAGCTGGGTGCAGTGGCGCACTCCTGTAATCCCAGCAGCTCAGGAGGTTGAGGCAAGAGGATCATGAGTTCAAAACCAGCTCAGCAATGGTGAGGTACTAAGCAATTTATTGAGACTCTGTCTCTAAATAAAATATAAAATAGGGCTGGAGATGCGGCTCTCTGTTTGAGTACCCCTGAGTTCAATCTCCGGTTCCAAAAAAAAAAAAAAAGGGTGGACATGTTACTCACTAGTTAAGCATCCCTGGGTTCAATTCCTGGCATAAAACAAAAATACTTTCTAAAATGAAGGCTTTTCTCAGACCAACAAAAGCTAAAAGACTTTATAACTTGGAGACCTCTATTGCAAAAAATATGAAAGAAAGTTTTTCATCAGGAAGAACTTTGGATATATGCAAAGGAATGAAATGTGTGAGAAATGGAAGCCTCATGGGTAGAAATAAAAGATGTTTTTCTCACTTTAATTCTCTTTAAAAAGTAATATGATGTAATAACAATAAATTGTGGGAATTACAAAATTGAAGATATAGGACATATGATAATGGTGGCACAAGAGGCAGAAGAGGAAATAGACATTTATGCCCTATGTAAAGACGTATAATATTAGTAGGAGGTAAACTGTGATAAAGATGTATATTGTAAATCTTAGAACAATAGCACAAAAAATTAAGAAGGATATCTAATAAACCAATAGTTGAAGAAATGAGATCATCCAGAAGAAGAGAGGAAAAGGAGGAAATTTATTAAAGGACAGATGTGATAAATAGAAAACAAGTATCAAGATGATAGAATTAAACTCAACATCTGATAATGACACTAAATATAAATGGTCCAAAATGCCAATGAAAAGAGATTGGCACTTTTTTTTTTTAAAGCAAGCCTTACTTAAATGCTGTTTAATCACAAAAAGAATTTGTTGATTTATTCAAAATAAAACAATGTAAGAAGAATTAATCAGATTATGTTACTCCAAAATTTCCTCATTGCATTTGAAATGAAATTTAGCTTCTTTATCATGAGCTAAATATCCCTTATTAACCTTGTTTCTTGATAATATTCTCCTCTAACCTAATACATTCCAGTCATCTGGGTTTCCTATCTATTCTTGGATCATATCAAACTCATTAAGAACTTAGGGAATTTGCACTTGTTGTGCCATTGTTCTGTAACATCCTTTCTCTGGCCTGCCTCCTTACCCTTCAGATCACTGATAATATGTCAGCTCCTCCAAAGAGAACTTTCCTGATTCTATCATCTAAAGAAGGACCCCCTACTCTCCTTAATAGCAATCCAATGTTTATTTCTATTCTTTACACATTTTTCTTTCTTCTTCATTAGAATGTAAACCCTATCTTATGATATTATAAGCCCATCTCTCTTATTGACAGGGGTATATTCAGAGTTTGGCAAAATTCCAGGTGATATTAAACATTCAATATTTCTGCATAAATGAATAAACAGTACTGGTATGTAGTAAAGCAACACATTCTAAACCTGAAAATCCATCTCCACGACTTACTCTGGTCTATTAGATCATTTTTGGAAAACTGAAACACAGAAAAGCCTTCAAATCATCAGATGCAAGGATCTATCCTACACATATTTTATTTTGTATAACTAAAGAATAGTTTTTCTTATGTGTAACCTTCTCTCAAGGTGCCCCCCCCTCAAAAAAAGAAAATAAAAAAGAAAAAGGCAATAAATTCCATTACTTAAAAAGTTCTAGAAAATTTGGCCATGTACAAAACATGGAACCTAAGGGTAGGACTTATCCATGTAAGACTGTCTACCAAGAATCTCTCAAAAGTGACTTACTCCCAAACATGAGTCATAGCTAACTAAAGTTATTGGCACATCTTATCTTAATTCCAACTAATCAAAAACAACCACTTATGGTAATCTTGTGTAGAAGCCATTATCATTATAACATCTCTAGTAATCAAGATTTCTTTTTCTTAAGAACAACTATCTATAACAAAGAAAAAAAACCAATGTGCAATATTTAATTATCTTTTTCAGTTACCTACTGAACATTAATAGTTTTTACATTAAGATATCACTTACATATAATAATATTCACATTTTTTGCTATGTCCTTTAATCTTGACAAATTATCCAGTCGTAGCCACCATTACACTCAAAATGGAGAACATTTCCATCATCCCCCAAAGCTCCTTCATGATCTTATGTACTCAGTCTTTCCCCTACTGAGTTCCTGGAAACCAAGGATGTATTCTGTGTCCCAAACACACAGAAAGGCTTTGGCATTTCTAGAATGTCATGTAAATGGGATCCTATAATACATAGACTCCTGAGTCTGGCCTCTCTCATACAGAAAAAAAAGTGTTTAAGAGTCATCCAAGTTCTCACATGCATCAGTAGTTCTAGAGGAGTTTACAATGGTCTGGATATACCATAGTGTTCTTACCCACTCACCAGTGCAAGAACAGTGTTTCCAGTTATTGTATAACACCTCTAAGAACACTAACATTCCAATTTAAAAATGTTTTTAGATGGACACAATATATTTATTTTTATTTATTAATGTGGTGCTGAGGATCAAGCCCAGGGCTTCACGCATGCTAGGCAAGTGCTTTACCACTGAGCTACAACCCCAGTCCAACATACCAATTTTTGTGTTGAACTACATTTTAAAATTTGATGAGAATGGGATTATGCCAAAATAAAGATTTTTAGGAAAGCGAAATAGGGAATCAAAGACAGTGTGATTACCTGAGCAAACTATTACAAAAAAAAAAAAATAATAAATAACTCTAACAGAGGAAAAGAAATCACAGATGAAGGGGAGAAAACATACTTCAATATAAAAGAGGGACATACATATTTTAATAATAAGCTATCAGACTGCAAGGACATATAGATGATGTATAGTATAAAAAAAGGAATAATGTTGATTTCTAAATCTGCAGCAATCCTAAAACCTGTGGAGACCATCACACCATCTGTACCCTACAAAGTTTCTTCCATAACCTCCGAAACTATCACAGGATCTGAATCCACTGCTAGAATTTCCACTACAACATCTGAGGTCACCTCACTGCCCACAGCAGAATGGCCTTCTACAGCCTCCACAGCTTCTCTGTCTGCCACAAACTTAATCAACACTTCAAAAACCAACACAGGCTCTGAGATCACAATAGCACCTATCACAGCCTCACAGACCATCACAGAGTCTGGATCTCCAAGGGGGTCTACCACAGCCTCTGAGACCACTTTACTTTCCAATGCAACAACTATTACCCCCACAGCATTAACCCCAGCTTTGGGGGTCGCCACTGCCACAATGACAACTTCTGTTCCCTTCAGGGCTTCCACCTCAACCTCTGAAACTGGCAAAGTCTCTATCAAAGACTCAGACACCACTGCAAACTCTGAGGCCATAAAAACTTCTACCACTGCCTCTGATTTGCTCACACCCCTTACCACAATGTCTGTGCAGACCACAATCTCCAGCACAGCCTCTGAGACCACCTCAGCTTCTGAGTCTACTGTGGCCCCCGCTCTAGTTTCTGAAACCACAATAACATCTGTCCCCACCACAGCCTCTACCTCAGGCTCTAAGAACACAGTCTCTGAGATCCTTGTGGTTTCTACCACAAACTCAGAGACTGCTACGGCATCTGTGACATTCTCCAAGACAATGACAGCCTCCACTAAAGGCTCTGGGACATCCAGAGAGCCTGTGTCCTCCGTAGCCACTGAAACACCTTTTGAGAACACCGAAACATCGGTGCCCATCACAGTCATCACCACTGTAGGCCCCGAGACCTCTAGAGCCTCCAACAGAGTCTCACAGACACCTACAGAGTCTGTGACCCCAAGGAGATCCACCATAGCATCTGTACTAACTGAAGCATCCACTAGAATTTCTGAAGTCACCACACCCTCCACAACAATATCTGTGCCCACGCTGACCTCCACCACAGCCTCTAAGACCACCCCAGGCTCTGAATCCACCAAAGTCTCCACTAAAACTTCTCATATTACCTTGTTCTCTACCACAGCATCTGTGCCCACTCAAGCCTCCAGTACAGTGTCCGAGGTCACAACGTCCTCCGTGATAATGTCTGTGCCCACCTTGACCTCCACCACAGCCTCTGAGACTACAACATCCTCTACTAAAACATCTGAGACCGTCTTTGCCACAACCTCTGGGACCACCACAGTTCCCACAGCATCTGTGGCAAACTCTTCCTCCATGATAACATCTTTACCTACCACAGTCTTCACCACAGTCTCTGAGACCACAGCTTCCAGCAGAGATTCTGAGGTCATCACAGCTTCCACCATAATGTCTGTGTCACCACCATCCTCCAGCATAGCCTCTGAGACAATTATTAATTCTGAAATAACCACAGAATCTCCCACAATTTCTGAGACCATCGGGGACTCCACTATGACATTGGTGTCCACCATAACTTCCACCACAGACTCTGAGACCATGTCATTCTCTACTGAAGCCTCTGAGATAACTTCAGGGTCAGTACCCTCCACAAATATCACAAAACTTGATAAGCCCACTACAACTTCTGTACCCACTACAACCTCTGCAATAGTCTCTGAGATCGCCACACCTTCCATCGCAATGTCTAAAACCATCTCATCTTCCAAAACAGATTCTGAGTTTTCCAGTAGAGCACCTCTGACCATGAAAATCTCTACTYCAATCTCTGAGTCTGTCTTAGCCTCCACCATAGTCTCTGAGACTGCCATGTCCTCTACTGCCACATCGATGCCCACCACAGCTTTCATCACAGGCTCTAAGGRCACAACAGCCTCTGAGACCACAAATGCTTCCACAGTTACCCCCACTGAGACCATTATAATGTCCATCCCAACATCTGGGACACACCAGGCCTTTATCACAACCCCAGAGACCACAACAGTCTCCATGAAAGTCTCTGGGACAGGTGGACAATCTGTGTCTTTCACAGACACTACAACACCTCCTGAGAGTACAATCACATCTGTGCCCTCCACAGCCTCTGAAACCACCCCAGGCTCTGAGACAACCACAGGCTCTGCATCTACCTCTGCTTCCACTACAACATCTGAGATCACCTCACTGTCTACCACAGCATACAAGTCTGCCACAACTTCCACAGCACTTGTTCCCACCACAGACTTCATGACTTCTGAAACTGCCACAGGTCCTGAGATCATCACAACTTCCACCATGGATTCACAGACCACTGTAGAGTTTGTGTCCCCGAGTGCCACCATCGTCTCTAAGACCACCTCACTCTCTACCACAAAGGATGTGGTGACTTCAGAGGCCACGATGACAATTTCTGTCCCCTACAGTGCCTCTACCCCAGTCTCTGAAACTGCCAAAGCCTCTACCAAAGACTCAGAGACCACTATAAACTCTGAGACCACAAAAGCTTCTGCCATTGCCTCTGAAATGCACACATCTTCCATCACAACATCTGTACCAAACACAATTTCCAGCACAGCCTCAGAGATGACCTCAGCTTCTGAGCCTACTGTTGTCTCCACCATAGTCTCTGAGACGACCATGTCTTCCACAGTAATGTCTGTTTCCTCTATAGCCTCTACCTCAAGTTCTAAGAACACAGCCTTTGAGACCCTTCAACGTTCCACCACCAACTCTCAATTCACCATGCCATCTGTGACATCCTCTGAGCTCCTAACAGTCTCCACAAAAGCCTCTGGGACAACTATAGAGACTGTGTCCTTCACAAAACCCACACATCCTAGTGAATCCACCACAGACTCCAAGGCTTCTACAGACATTGAAATGACCACAAACGCTAACACGGTATCTGAAACCTCTATGCCCTCCACCATAACATCTGTGCCCACAGTAACTTCCTCCACAATCTCTGAGAACACTAGTGCTTCCACAGTACTTTCTGAACCCAACACAGTCTTCATGGTGACTGCTAAGACCCACACAGGCTCTGACACCAACACACCTTCCTCCACAGCTCCTGAGGTCCCCACATTCTCCACCAAAATGCCTGTTCTGACCACAGCTTCCACCATAGACTCAAGGAACCCAGCACCTTCTGAATGCCCCATGACCTCCACTATTGACTCTGAGACTCCAACAGCTGTCACCACAGTCTCTGAGGCAGCTGCAGTTTCCACTCAAACATTACTAACAACTGCAGAGGATGTGCCCTCCACAGCCACCAAAAACCAAAAGCCCACTACTATCCTTTCTACAGTCTCCAAAAGCACTGGAGTCTCAGAGACCACTACAGCTTCCACTTTTGGAACCGCTGCAGAGTCTGTGACCACAAAGCACTCCACCACAGGATCGGAAATCTCTCCCACTGAGACAGTGTCTAGCACATTGTCCACCACTGTCTTTGAGAGCAACTCAGACTCTAAAAGCACCATGTTCTCTACAAGGGACTCTGTGTCCACTACTTCCTCCATCACAGGAATATCAGTGTCCATGCCAAAATCTACCATGAGCCCAGAAATCACCAGAGCCTCTACTGCAGTCTCTGAGACCACTTCTATCTCCTCCAAAGGTATGTAACCACTGTCAACCATCACCTTCTCGCCTGTTTCTCTTTTCTCTGCACTAGCCTGTAGTCAAGCCAGCACAACAGATATATATTATTCCCTTGCCTTGAATCTCCCTTACTTCCATGCTGGCTTTACCTGCTTCATTTAGTTTCAACTCCTTTCATTCTAATCAGAAATATTTATTTGTATATATCCCCATCTGCTACTCCACCCTAGGACAAGTAATATTCTTTAACTTCTGCCTCTAGAAAACCCACCTCAACTCTGTGGACAACCCTCAGTTTTGACAGAGACTCTCATTTCTATTCCAAGTGTAACCTATTCTGTCCAGCCTAACCTGTGACACCACATATCATGTTCCACACATTGTTCCCTTGTCCAGAGTTTGGTAAACCATACTTCATGGGTCAAGTCTCACCAGCTATCATGTTTTGGTAAATCAAGTTTTATTGGAATGTGCTCATGTTCATTTGCATATTGTTTCCAACTGTTTTCCAGTTCTTTAGTGTAGTTTCAACAGTCATATCCCCCAATGAACTGGAATATTTACTAGCTGGCCCTTTGCAGAGAAAGTTTGCCAAATCTTACTCTATGATAAAACCAAAGTTAATATTTCATCCTCTGGCTCTTGATCTGAATAAGACCACATCTGCCCTTGCCACCAACATTGGTGTTGGGTTTCAGTCTGTCCTCCTGTTCTGAGCACACTCACCAGTGACTTGTGTATCATTTTAATCATTTCTGATCTAGTCACATCTGTTGCTAGCTAAGCCACTACCATCACTGCCTCTGTCAAATTGGAGTCTGTCCTCTTGTCTGAGTTCACCTTCTCCCGTCTCTGTGGTTAACCTCCTCCTCATGAGTCAGGTTCTTCCACATCTGTTCCAAGCACACTTACCTCTACTTTGTTGACCAGAATTGTGTTAGATGATGTCACCTCTGCTCCTAGCCGTGGTCACAACATGGCTATGAACAAATCTGACCACTTCATCTCCTCCTCTCACATCCTCCTTATACCCAGTAACGACAACACAAGAGAACAATGACCTACCACTTTTTTTCCCCAGTCTACCTACTGTCTTTGGGTGACTACTTTTTAAGTTGACTAGACTTTCTTCTGCAACAATCACAGTCATCTCCTAAACCTTCTACCTCCTCCATCACCAGCACCATCTATGAATGTAACCTATTCTGTCCAGCCTAACCTGTGAATATATTCATATATTCTATGAATATATTGTACATCCTCTTCTCTAAAATGCTGACCTCTATTCTGGGGACCATAGCCACAGAGAACTACTTCCTATCATCTCTCCTTCCCCACAACTCTTTCAAACCACCACCACCACCAGAGCCATGTTAGATTAGACCTCCTCGGCTCTAAGGACACCCACCTCCCCTTTAAATGTCTCCATTATAAATGCATCATCTTGATTAACCCATTTCCCAGGCACCAGGACAAGACCAACCACCCACATTTCTCCTGTAAGGAAACCCACTACCTTTGCTACCAGCAATGCATTGCCTGGAATATCCCTGAATACCTCTGGCCTGGCTGCATCCACTCTTGGAGTATCATCTACCTCCTCATTCCTAGGTGTCATGACCACCACAGTGTCTATCCATGATTCAACTGTCATTCCTGGAGCCAGCGCCACCTCCCGTACAATAAGCTCAGTGTCCATGGGCACAAATAAAATTAGCGTGAGCCACATTCCAACAAATATGTTCAAACCAAGTGGATATTTACAGCCCTGGGTCATCATCCTCATTTCTCTGGTTGCTGTTGTGATGGGTATCGTCCTGCTAATAGGACTCTGCTTTTGTCTGGTGAGTATCTAGGATGGGTTAACTGGGGAGTCTGATGAGGAAGTAGATCATAAATAACAATGGAATTCATGTAAATAATGCTTGGAGTATCCAGAAGAATAAGTTGGTGTGTAGGAAGAAAAATCATGTACCATGATATAAAGACCAGAGAGAATTAGTGAGAGTGAGAGTTGAAGTTGTAAAAAGAAGAATAAAAAGATGAATTGGGGTCAAAATGAAAGGAAATTGTTTGAATGAAACAACATCTAGAAGTCAGAATATTTTAGCCCTGGAAGAAGAATCTCCAGAAATTGAGGAATCTTTAGGTTGTTGCTTTATTTACTGATTTCTATTATAAATCTTAGCACTTGTTATCCATGGGACACTGCTCTTTGGATGCTCTTGCACAAGTAGAGACGAATACTCTTCTCTTGATTCTCCTTAGGTCAGCTGTAGATTAGAAACGTCAAAACATTTCACTAAATACTGAGGAAGAAAAAAAGGGAAATAAGCATTAAAAAATCAGCATACGCAGTGACACAGCCACATTAATGTATACAGCAGCATAATTCACAACATCTAAGCTATGGAACAAACCTAGGTGTCCTTCAACAAATGAATGGATAAAGAAATTGTGATGTAAATACACAATGGAATATTACTTAGCCATAAGTAAGAATGACTTTATGACATTTGCCAGTAAATGGATGGATCTGGAGACTATCACACTAAGTGAAATAAGCCAATTTTAAAACACCAAAGGTCAAATATTTTCACTGATACATGGAAGCTAAACCACAGTAAAGCAGAAGATAGAACCTTTCTGTAGATAAGACGATGGGGAACAAAGAGAAGAGGGGTAGGAATAAGAAATACAGTAGAATAAATCTAACATATTTTTCCTATGTGCACATATGAAAATACCTAAGAGAATCCCCACCATTGTGTCCACCCACAAGAATGGGGTTCTAATTAGAATAAGATATATTTCATGCTTGTATAATTGTATCAAAATGGATTTTACTGTCATGTATAACTAAGAGGAACCAATAGTAACCACTATTTTTTTGGATGATATAGTCATCCAAAAAAAAAAAAAAGTGCAGGTTCCAACTGTGTGACATCTACCAAGTTTTTGTTTTGTTTTGCTACTGAGGATTAAACTCAGGGATTAAACTACTGAGCCACATCCCCAGCCCTATTTTGTATTTTATTTAGAGACAGGGTCTCACTATCTCACTAAGTTGCTTGATGCCTCGCCTTTGCTGAGGCTGGCTTTGAACTCATAATCCTTCTGTCTCAGCCTCCCAAGATGCTAGGATTACAAGCATGCTCCACTGTGTCTGGCTTTTTAATAAATTTCTGGTACTCATGAGTACTCTGCTATTTCTTGTTTGATTTGTGGTAATTACTCTCTGATCTCCCAATGCATCTCTGCTTTCAGAACTTGATCTTTCTTTGAACACATATTTTTCTCGAACTAGTCTTACATTTATAT